ATGAAGCCCGGGTGCCTCCTGCTGAAGGCGTACAGCTCCTCGTTCATGAGCTCCGCGTCCGCGATGCTCCGCACCGACCACACGACCACCACGCCCCTCGGACAGGCCACGCGGCCAACAGGGACGTCCAGAGCGCTGTCTCCCCGCTGGTGGGCGCCCACGGGCTGGGCGTGGGCGGCCAGGTGCTTCAAAAGCGTCAGGAGAGGCGTAATGGCCGCCCCGCCGACGATCATGACCACCCACTCGTGGTGCTGGAGGGTGCGCACGCCCTGGAGCGTGGGCGCGTGGTAAGGGCCGTTCACTTTGAGGTAGGGTACGCTTTGGGCGCCGGCTCGCCGTACGAGGCCCTTGGTCCACTTTCCGACGCCCTTGAAGCAGATCTGCGGAGGTGGAAGCGGTGCACAGGGAGGCCCGTCAGGTGGGGAATAGGGAGACGAAGCTCAAACTTGCGGAAGGGGACGGTTGTGGTCGTCGCCTTGCAGGCGGAAGTGCAGTGGTTCGTCCGGTGCGCCGTCGTCATGTGACGATCGAGTCAGATTTCAAGGGGCTTGAAGCTGATTCTCGCAGAAGGTGCGGAGCTCAAATCAAGCACGACACACACTGCGCACATGAATCTTTGGCGGGCCTTTGACGACTGTCGTATTTGTTCGCAAAATTCGTGTCAAGTTAGCCACCCATGCCAGTGTTCCCCCCGGCCACTGGATTCAACCACTGTCGAACGTGTTTTCGCAACGTGACAGATGGTGGCACGCCGCGACTAGGGCAAACATGATTGTGTAGCACACTTCAGTGTCCAGCGGCAATACCGACAGCCGCTGCAGTTTCCAAGGAATTTCAGGTGCAATCCTCGTTGTTTCTGTAGGAATGGGCAGCCGCATGAAAGAAATGGGCGAGTCGTCGGGTGGTTCTCAAATTGACAATTGTGTAGCGTACTTACTACAGAGTAGTTGAAATTCACCCGGGCACAAAATTTCAGTAGCAGAAAGTCCTAGCAGGGTAGCCATGGGCCATCGATCTCGAAAACGAATGTTTGATGCGTCAGAGATAGTCTATGGACGTCAACCGGCGCTGAGCAGCATTCTGTCTGCTGCTGATGACAAGTTATGGAGTTTGTTGTATAGAATGCTTGGCGCGTTGACACTCCGCGACACAAGTACAGCAGTGTTTTGCTGGGCAGAAAGAATATTTTCCAAGTGGATGACACAACGCAGCTCAAAATGTACTGGTGCTCACTCAGAACCAAATGAACCATTTCTTGAAGGAACTGTCGTGCGCTTCAGGACGCACCAGTTTTCATCGGATAGCCCAAATCCCTGCAGAATCGAGGGCGCAATGGGAAATCGACAACCGCAACGCTGTGCACACGAAAATCGCGTTACCTTGATTTCCGAGCCTCCGTTGCAAACTGGCGTGACCGGATGCCACTGAAACTTCGACAGCTGCGGGGCGTTGATGAACAAGGTAGAAAGGGGGCACAGTGACTTCGTGTTCTCGAGCCCGAGGACAGCGATCGATTTGTCTGACGTCGTCGCGGACCACCTGACCTCGACGGGCGTGCTGAGCTGAATCAGCCGCAGGACGAGGTCCAGGCAGTACAGCAGCAATCCGGCGCTGAGGTAGATGTGCATTCCCGGGGCGTGCAGAACGGCGAAGACCAGGAAGCCGATGAATGAAACAAGGTGGGTTCTGTAAAACACCTGGGCAGAGGAAAAGCAGGCGCGGGTCATGCCCACTGCTCCGCGTGAGGAATGGTCTCCGACAAGAGCCCTGGCACTATGGGCAGCATCGGCAGAATGGAGCAAATGCCCTCGCAGTGCACTTTCCGGCAAAGGCGACGATATCCGATGTGTAAATGAAACGACGTCACCTGGTTGCGCGGTCACTTGCTTACATTGTTTCTGCGTCAGCTTGGATACGTGGTTGAAGAAGGTTGAAAAATGCTGTGAATGATCTCACCAAATCAGGTAAGGAACCTGAAGAAAAGTTATAAATGTTGTCGTTTCCTAGATGCGGGGTCGCGAAAGTCTCCGACAGTGCCCAATAGCAATAAAAATTGCCGATTCCGAAGCACAACCTCTATTGCTGGACTGTCATTGCATTGTAAAATGGGACTACGACACCGCACTACAGTGGTTGGGAATCAGCACGCCATTTCAATCGGTGTACCCAACTGTGCACCCAAGATTGACAGCATGTGTCACGGGTTTGTCAAAGAAGGTAAGCAGTTCAAACTGCCCACTTTTTTTCTGCTGTGCGCACTGCCCAACATACGTTGCTGACGCTAGGGAAGTGTGGAGCACTCGTCCAGGTGTGCTACTTCTCTCCGCAATGGCATTGAATGCCGCTATGCGGAAACGACAGACAATCTGTGCACAAGACTCAAGGCTGCAATGAAACTGATGGAGCCCATGCACCGTTTTCAAGCGGCAGTTTGGGGGGACTGACGACACCACTCAGTGCCACGATTTCGATCACAGGCACGCAGCACTGCGCCCATACACTGCCGCACAGAACTGCCTGTCTTCAAAATCGTGATATGCACAACAATTCAGTGCAAAAGTTTGAAATTTTCTCAACTACAAAAATCCATACATAATTTATGAAGGATTTCACCACGCGCGGTCAGGACGGATCCCTTTCTTCTGGACAACCACCATGGACCGACCTCAAAATATCTTCGCCTGACCCACTCCAGTGCGGTGAACCACAGCGCCAGGCCGAACCCCAGTGAGATGGCCCCCGCAAGGTGATTGATGCCAGTCCCGCGAGCGCTGAAGGGCGTCCAATCCAGCGCCTGCGTCTTCCACTCCCGCCCCCCCTCGCGCGCCCACAGGATCCAATACAGCCCCCCGTGGATGGACAGTATGGCCAGGGTGAAGTGCCCAAGCCACCGGTGGTACCGTATGCGCTTCTCGAACGGCAAGCCCATGGCCTCGAAGAGCGGGGAGATGCGTGAGATTGGGAAGAACAGCCACATCAGGTTCTGGAACGAGGCGACTCCCAGCGCAAACGCCACACTGCGAGGGCACAAGAAGATTGATGATGTCCCTTGGGTGAAAGGCCAAAATTCCGCGCTGGATGGGCCGACAGGGAGGCATGAGCGACGCACTTCGAGCGCAAAGGGTACGATTGGTGTGCAGATATTGCGTGGACCTTGCCTAGAAGAGGCATGCTCTGCTTGCACCAGAATTCGCATAGACGACGACGCATCCTAATGGGAAGCACCTCCTTGTCTGTGACACTGCTTTCAAGCCAGATAGTCGGCGGGAAGGCCCCAGTCTGGCAATGTTGTTCGATTCGTGGCGCCGTCGGAAACCCGGAATACTGAATGGATGATTGCACCAAAACCCCAACACACTTCCAGATCCCCGCGCCCGCTTTCCCTCAGTCGTCCTGATGCCACAAAACCCAACAAATTTCACAAGTATCAACAAATTTGTTGATTCTCCGTCAACACTTAGCAATTTTGATAGAGATCCAGAATTGACAAGCTCAACCAGATAAAAATAGTGTGTTCTGTAATATAAGCGCGTTACGAAGTGCCAATCACGCATTCTCGACCGCGTTTTCCACCAGCGACTCTGGACACCCACCCGTCAATTTCATAGTGCCTGTCATCGTAGGGCAGCGCCACGCCGTTCTCCTCCGCGGCCCTCTTTTCTGTGGAGGCCACACAGGCGTTTGCAAGGCCCGATACCAGCAAAGATTGCCTTCGTAGCAACACGCGGAGACACGCCAGTGCAATGGGCAACCCCTCCCGGGCAGAAGACACGCGACGCCGGTTCCAAGTCATTCGTCCAACGGGATGCAGGCCTCTTCGAGCAGCGCAAACAGCGCGGCAACCCGGAGAGTTCAATGCCGCGATTCGCGCGTCGTGCCCCAATGCCCGAGGCCCATGGCCATGCGCCCGCCCCGCCACCGCTTCCGTCCCCCATGCGGATGCGGCAACCCACGCTCATGCACGCGAACCTCCACCTCAAGCGGAGCTCCTCCGCCGTAACTTAACACCTACGGGCTTTGAAGACCTCGTCCACGACGCGCACGATCCACTCCACGGTGAGCACGTTGCGCAGCAGCAGGAAGGCCAGGAAGGCGGCCTCCCCGGCGCACACGCCGCCGCACCAGCCCACCAGCCACCCCCGCCTCAGCTCCCAGCCCAGAACTGTGCCCGCCGGCCTCAGCCACGCCAGCACCACGCGCCTCTCGGGCACGTAGAACAGCGCGATCGAGCACATGATCATGACCAGCGGGCCGCCCCAGAAGTGGAACACGTCGCGGGACATGGTCCCGGGCAGCAGCTCCTGCGCAAGGCCTGTGGTCCTGCTGGCCACGGACGAGGAGCGTAGGGCCATGGAGTCGGCCATGCGGGACCATATTTGGTCGTTTCCCCACTCGGTGCCCAGGGTCAGGAGGACAAAGGCGAGGTAGGCGGCCACGACGGCCATCAGGGAGTACAGGAGCACCGCCAGGAGCACGAAGGCCGGGCGGTTGGCGCCATTGCCCGCGTGCTTGAGGTTTCGGAAGAACCGCGTGGCGTTCGTGGCGGACTCGAGCAGGCTGGCAAGCTGGGAGCCCTTCCTGTGGGCCGCGGCGCCCATGCCGTCCTTGGCCAACTCGGGTGCGCCGGCCGTTGGACGGGGGATATCACCGCCACATCGTGCCATGGTGGGCGCGCAGGGGGGGGATAAATTTGGGACTGGGACGAGGTCGAGGGCCTCGGCCTCGTACAGGAGCCAAGGGGACGAGGAGGGGGATTGGCCGATGGGCGGCGAGTCAATACCCGCAGCTTCCTCCGTGACTTAGGGACACCGCGCTGGGGTGGGGTGGGGTGAGCGCAACGTGAGCCGCGCCGATCTGACATCCATGTGGCCCATGCAATCTGCGCCATGTATGCCTTGGTAGCCGTGGATAGCAGTGGACTGCCTGGAGGCGCCTCCTGTGCCGGCACAGACCGCTCCCTGGGGACCGACGCCGTGCGCGTGCCCCAGGGGCACTGGCAGATGCGGTGGCCAGCAACGTCCCCAGGCGCGCCTGAGGGCCTTCGGCTGGGCCCCAACACCCGAATGCGACCCCCAATGTTGGCACGGGCGCATGATTTTGCAATCTGCATGGCGATCCTCGCGGGTGCCGCCATGGGCGCGCATGGGATCGGCATAGAGGCCTTGGACCCCGGATCCGATCTTCCTGCACCTGCCAAAGGTCGAACAGCCGCTGGCATTCACCCAGGGAAGGCTTACGCCCACGGCAGGGGCGTCCTGCAGTCTGGCCCGCTGCCCTTGCCTCCGGCGGAGGCCTGCGGCGTCAACGCCCTCGCGGCGCCCCTGCTGGTGACGCCGGGATGCCAGGAGTCCGTGACCGCGGGACAGGCCACGGAGGTGTGCTGCTCGGCGCTGGAGGCCGCCGTGGGGCCGGAGGCGGAGGGGCCGACGCGCAACTGCCTGTGCGTGGAGGCGGTGTGGGGGGAGGTGGGCAGGGCGACCGACCAGCTGGGGATACCCATCCAGGCGGTGCTCGACGAGTGCAAGTGAGTGGGGGGCGGGCAGGGTTTATCGGGACGGTGGCGGCGTTGGGCCACGATACTGAATGGCGATCGTACCCGCTGTCTCGGGCTGTGCGAAAGGGTGTTTGGGTTGGCCGCGGATTTCTGCTCGCCTGGAAGGGAGCTGGCCGCCCGCGCTCAGCAGCGTGCTGCTCGGCTTTCGAGGCTGCCCGCTCCTGCGTTTGGATAGGGACAATATAATGTGTTTCGTCAAGCAGGGCGCTGGGCCTGGCTGGCAGGTTGTGTCGGAAATGGATTGCGCCACCATCGCACCGTTTGGTCTGACGATCAGCGAGTTCAGCACACAATTCTGGTGTTTTTAGCATTATGTATAATAATGGAAATCTTCGAATAGAATACGCAATCTTCGTTACATTTGATCCACTGCATTCGAATGCCTTCAACGATGTTCGGCAACCGCAATAGTACGTATTCCATTCTGTTTACGTATCTCTTCCATGGGACAGCTCGTCAGAATTGTCCTTGACTATTAGGCTAATCCCCGGCAAGTACTCTTCTTCGTCTAGTCCCCCGCTGTTTATATCTCACTATGATCTTTGACTTCTTAGTGAGCTGACTGTTGTAACAGTCTAATTAGGCGCGGTATGGTGCACAGCAATTGGGCAAAGCACCTTCTGCGCTAAAGAAACCGGCGTCGCCTTGCTCCAATGTGAATGGGCACGGACCACCACAAAATCCTCCGCCATGCTGCCGCAGCATCGCCAATCGCCCTTCACTTTGCAAACCGCTGGAACTCAATCTCAAATTTGTCAAACGGATCCATTAACAAATCACGCATCAATCGTCGAGCCTCACTTCCCGGTCATTCACATATACATGCGTGCCCATTCAGAACCACGGAACCGTCGATCCACATTAAATCGTCCCTGCGCATGTGTGTGCCGCACAGCGGCCGGCTGGGCGCGCGGGTGCCTTACTTTCAGGGCGAGGGCGTCGGCCTGTGCGCGGGGGACCTGCCGCCCTCCATCCAGGCCCTCCCCCTGCCGGACAACCTCGAGGAGTCGTGCGCCGTCACGTCCCTGGCGGCGCCCCTGCTGGTGACGCCCGGCTGCCAGGAGTCCGTGACGGCGGGGCAAGCCACGGAGGTGTGCTGCTCGGCGCTGGAGGCCGCCGTGGGGCCGGAGGCCAACGCCACGACGCGCAACTGCCTGTGCGCGGAGTCGGTGTGGGCGCAGGTCGCCATGGCCACCGACCAGCTTGGGATACCCATCCGGGAGGTCATCGGCGCATGCACGTGAGTTGGGCGTTGGGAGGGATCGATTCGCCAGGATGTTGTGCTCCGGCACGAACACTGGCAGAGGACGCCATTTTGCGGCTCCAGCTGCGATGGCCAATTGGCATTGAGTGGCTCCATCGCAGTGACTGCGGTGGGATGCGTTGGGGCCAAGCGCACTAGGAAAAAAGGGCAAAATAGCACGTGCTCAAACGTGTACAAAGTTTACGGGTTTGTGTTATTTTTGTGTTCTTAGCGTGCAGAACTTCGATGAAATGTGTCTTATGTGTGTTCGCAAAAGTGTTATTTGGCCCTTTTTTTCCTAGTGGCGGCGTCGCAGCTGGCGTTGCCGAAGTGTCCTTCTTTATGGGGAAATTAGACGCGGGCGCGGCAGTTATGACGATCTGTGTTGAGGGAGCATGTGCGTGTGTTGGGGTATGTAACGGCGGACGATGATCAGGATGTGTGCGCAAGTGGTGCGCGTTTTGTGTGAATTATGTTGGATGGGCTCAGTCGATCAATCTGCTGCATTCAACCATATTATGTACATATATGTACATAATGTGTATAACAATATGTACACAATATATGTTATGTAATATGTTTTAGATAGCCGATGGTGTGAGGTCCCAGATAGAGAAGCTTTCGCGGTGGCATGTGAAGCATCTGTGCCAACCCTGCCCGGTGATACATGCCTGGGTATTGGCGCGAAAAAAGCTGGAAGGGGAGCGCATACATACTTTTCATGCATGATGGTATATCAAATGGGAGAGGGACCTTCTGGCAAGGGCTGTTAAGTTTACGTCAGAAAGTTCCTTGCTTTAGACATTTCTATCTTTAAGAGGGTGGAAAAAGAGCGCAATGGATCCCAGTCTGGTGACTGGCAACATAACTTTGTATCACACTTCATAAATCCTAATAACTTACAAATTACTTGACCCACATATATCCTATTCTTCTAATGCTTCTCGTAATTGGATGAACAATCTAACTGGAATGGTGACAATTTATTTTTGAAAGCAAAATTCTTAGGCGTGTTGTTTTCTGCTTGCAGTAACGAATTTGGCAAAGACATCCCATTTTATCAAGGACCAGGCGTAGGGAAATGCTCAGGAAATCAAACTGTTCTTGAGGCATCGCAAGAGGTATGCCCATTCGGGAGCAAGCGCTGTGTGCAAATAGTATAGACATATTTGACATGAAATTTGCTTTGATGAGAGCGAGCAATTTATACTGGATTTTTCTGCTTCATTAGCTGCCTTTGACACAGATTGGAGAGACTTTGCCGAGTATGCATCCAAAATATTTTTGGCAACAACGCTGTCAAGCTCCTGTATCTTTCATTTACGCCGCCTCTCGCGCAATTGCCTAGACGCACTAAGCAAAGACACGTTGTGCCTACTCGAAACTTAAAAGACTTCATGCATCAATCATTCATTTGTCATGTCTCCGGTCATCCTCTCACTCATCTGCATTCGCTGCTTTCGCACTCACTGCCGCAGGACCCAGCCATCCAAATGAGGAACTTCGCGGAGTGGGTGAGCGATCTCCCGGAAGAGCCCGCCCTCTACGTCTCGTTCATCTTCGCCATTCCTGCCACCATTGGGGTGTCCATGCTCGCCGTGATAGCCACACAGGCGCTCCTGTGGTGATACGCATCTAACGCTTGACAAGAGAACCGCAAGACGAACGCGTCACGAGCTGGACGTCTCCCGAGTGTGACCAGACGGCAGCAGACCTTCCAAGAAGACTTGGAGAATAAATCTTGGCAGCCTCCGTATTATGCGCAACAACAGGCGCTGCCGACACAGTTTCCTTCGCCCCGGCCCGTCCTGCTCTGCCTCAGCGGTGCTTGCACATTCAGAACTGTGGATTATGAGATAAGGATCCATAATTTTCTGTATTTTCGTCGTCAATGAGGGAATAGAGCAGATTGCAAGGACGAAAAAGCGGTGGCTGGAGTTGGGAGCCGCGTGCTTGGAATGTAGGTCGATGTTGGAGAAAGCAGTTTCTAACTCGGGAAGCAGCAAGCACGCTGTTTCTTCCCGCCTTCTGCCTCGTGGGCAAAAGTGGGTCATTTCGCATGGTGGAAGTCGACGTATCAACCAATTTGAGCGTCTAAAAGTTGTATTTTATTGATGTACCATACTTGCAGGAGTTGATTGGTCCTAGGATCAAACTGTGCAATCGAACCCATACCTCTGTGTCCCACTCTCCACCTCTGCTCCCATCTTTGCCAGCAGATGCGGTCTCCTGTCGGACTGCATGGCAGGGATTTGCACTTTGGTCAGGTCACTTGGACGCGTTGTGCAGAATTTTCCGGCAAGAGGCTGTCCGTTTCGCGCAATTTGGTCCTGGAACACAGCGCTTTAAATTGTTCGGGATCTTGCAGACCGAGCTGTGCCATCCGTGTTTGCCACCTGAGACAGCGAGGTCACTGCCATTCCCTGGTGCCATGCAACATGGCAAGGTGGCCGATGACACACCTATGTAGCTGTGATAACTGTGGCTGGCTGATTACATTTACTGTGGTAGCTGAAATCAACGGTTGTGACAACATAATAGTGCGCTGACGCGACGGTATACCTGTCCGATGCGCGTCAGGAAGGCACGCAATTCCCTGTCGTATCAGCTTCGTTGATTTACACATCAGACAACAGTTAACTATTGTCTGAGGCGGCAATGGCAACCTGCACTTTGAGGTGGTGCTGTGAATCCTTCGGAAAAGGTGCATATCCAAGATGTGCGCATCCAGCATATGGCGCCCAGATCATATGTGATATGTGTAGGATATGGGCGATGGCGCGCGGGCCCCTACCTATAGCATATGGAACTTTTGACAGCGTCATTTCGCTAACGCCATCGTGGCGTTTCCGCGAGCCAGAGGTTGTTGCACCAGGGATCACCGGTGCATCAACTTCTGGGGGGTAAAAAGCCCCTTGGAGGGTTTAGCTCTTGCAACAGGGCCAATCAACCACATTCATGAGTCGTCACAATAAACACAGAATGACATCAGGAAGCTGCTTGACGCCACACAGTAAATGCATTGATGAGGGAAACACATACAGCGCTCGCGCAGACACATTAACTGCGCCTTATTTTGATGCCCCAACGGGAAAGGTGCCGGATGGCAGGGCGCCCCTTGCGTGCACATGTAGAGAAGGCAACCCCAACGCAAACCAACCCCAGATTTGGCCTAAAACCCAATACATCACTGGCGAGTATTCCAAAACGAGACAGCCAGCGACCGCCCTCCCTCATGGGGCATCGGTCGGCAGTCGCAGGACGTATTGAGCAGCAGGTACTGAGTACTGAGTAGGGTACTAAGTAGTGCAGAAAGGCAGTAGGTTGAACTGCCGCGAGTCGCACGTTGTACCGCCAACTCATGGGAGGCCACAAACCGGGGAAACCACGGTAGTGCACCGTCAGAGGGCGCGGACGTGGCCACAGCCCGCGCCGCGGTGATGGCCGACTGATGGACGACTCGCACCGCAGCCATCACCCGGGACAGACCCCGAGCCAACCCTGAACGGGAAGAGCGCCTACCAGCAAACTAGGCACATGCACATCGTGAAGCTTCCCTTGTGCCGAGGCGAAGTGACATAACGCGCCCGTCCTTGCCGCTGTGCATGCAGCTTAGTTACGATGTATGGCGGGCACGAGGCGATCGCACCACTGCACGATGTGTGGCCTTCTCGAGGGCCATAAGGCTTTTCCCGCGGCGCCCGCGTCCGATAGTGCCGCCCAGCGCTATCGCCCCCTCCCCGGGCCTTCCTCGAGCGCCGGCGCGCCGCGCCTCGGCCCAGTCCCCACCCGCCCCAGGCGCCTCGCCAAGCGCCCGTAGATACACCCCCAAAGGAAAAGGCCGCCCACCCCCGCCCACCCCGGGCCCCAAGGCGCAGGAGCGATGTCAAGCGCCTCCCCCTCCATGCGAATCCGCCTCTGGATCGTCGTGTGGGCGGCGATCTGCATGAATGGGGTCATCCAGGCGGCGGATCCGTTAGGATCGTCCATGGCTGGGATGGGCGCGGGCGGGCGGGCTGCCGGGCTGCGCGACCCGCGCAGGCGGCTGCTGCAGCCGGGGGGGCAGCCGGCGTCGGCCTGCGGCGCGGCCCTGGCTGAGCAGCTGCTGCTCAACCCCGGCTGCGAGGACGCGGTGATGGGCAAGAGCACACCGGGGTGCTGCACGGCGCTGATGCGGAGTGTGGGGCCGGAGGCGGGCGAGGAGACGCGCGACTGCCTGTGCGTCGGGGCCTCCTGGTTCCAGGTGGCCTACGAGACGGAGAAGTTGGGCATACCCATCCAGAAGGTCCTGGATGTGTGCAAGTGAGTGGGGGCGGAGGCGCGGAGGGAAGTGGGCTGTTGGGCGTTGGGTGGGCGAGCTCCGGCGGCGCTGGTGACCGCCCGGGGCTCGGCTGGCCGTTGTCGATGGTCGGCGTCGGACTCTGGCCGCCGATCTGGCGTCGCATGGTCGGGGCATCAGTCATTGTTGTGACACACAGTGAGGTGGCTGGGGGGGCGTATTGCCATTACGCGCCCCGTTTGGTGCGCGATGGTGGCGAGGGCGCGTCCGCCGTGACAGGGTGTCGCTCCAGAAACGAGAATGGCTTTGGCCATAGGGCCGATACGAACGTTGTCTTGATCGGCGCGTGGGCTCCGATGCCTTTCCAAATTTCAGTGTCTCTTTTCCAGGGAGCCCGACCGTCCATGCGTGAACATTGTGCAAGGCAGCGGTGACTCGTCTGCTGCAATGTCCATCACTCCGTTGCTCCAAAATGCAACGCTCTGTGCCCTGTAGTTCGACCTTGGCGCGTCTGATTTTCCTGTGTGCTAATATGAGAAACATAAAATCCTGGATCCTTTGCCCGTCATCGCCCTTGTCCCTTTTTCTTGGTGCAACTTCGATCGCGACTTTTGCCCTTGGAAGCATCTCTGTGTTGGAAACAATGACAATATTGCGGCACTTCACACAGCCTTTTCGGAATTTTCGACGATCGTGATCCAATCCTGACTCCGTGTGCGTGCTTTTCTGTGCCTTAAAGCACCCAGATGGGGGCCTCTATTCCGTACTTCGAAGGAAAGGGCGTCAGCCAGTGCAGTGAGCCGCCTCCATCCCCGACCCGATCGCAGACCCCGCCATCCCCGGAAGGGGCTTCGTCGTCCCCCACCAGGCCCGCTCCCACGATAGCCCCCGAGGACGCCTCCGCCCGCCCGCCACCCAAGAAGGACTCTCCTCCTCGATCCCCGAAGAAGGTGTCCTCTTCTCCAGAGCCCAAGAAAGGGTCTCCCAAGAAGGACTCGCCCAAGAAGGGGTCTCCCAAGAAGGGCTCTCGGTCGCCGTCCCCCAGGAAGGCGCCTCCCTCCCCGGAGCCCGCGTTGGAGCCCATAGAAGAGCCCATTCCAGCTCCCGCTCCTGAGCCCACTCCGGAGCCTGCCCCTGAACCTACCCCAGAGCCCACTCCAGAGCCCGCCCCGGAGCCCACTCTGGAGCCTACACCAGAGCCTGCGCCGGAGCCTACACCGGAGCCTGCGCCGGAGCCCACCCCAGCCCCCTCCCCAGTGTCCACGCCAGTCTCCTCCACAGTGTCGTCGACAGTCTCCTCCGGGAGGAGACTGCCGGCCCCCTCCCGGCCGCCCCCCACACCCCCCGTCATAACTAACTTTGCTTCGCTGCCGCCCTCCCCACAGCCGTCGGCTGCCCCCGCCGTAGCTACGCTCGCCTCTGTGGCCCCCTCTCCAGCTCCACTTCTCACCGAATCCAGTTCGCCTTCGTCTTCGTCTCTGTCTGTGTCTTCGTCTTCAGCTCTCCCACTTCCAGCCAACCCAGGGGAGACGTGCGCCGTCCAGACGCTGGCCGCGCCCCTGCTGCTGGACCCCGGCTGCCAGGAATCGATGGCCGGGGGCCAGGCCACGGAGGCGTGCTGCTCGGCCCTGGAGGCAGCCCTGGGGCCCGAGGCCAACACCTCGATGCGCAACTGCCTGTGCGTGGAGTCAGTGTGGGATGATGTCACCATGGCCACGGACCAGCTGGCGATACCCATGCGGAGGATCCTGGACGCGTGCAAGTACGTGCATTGAATTGAATGATGGGCTTACACAAATATACTGCATAAAATGGTTGAATATTAAAATGAGCAACTTGTGTTTTAAGATTGGCTGCACCCCGAAAATTGACAATTACGGACATGCGAACAGGGAAAGGGACAAAGGCAGTGCAAACGTGATGCACAGGTCGCAATTTTGGTTCAGCTCTGCTTCAAACACAATAAAATGCAAGCATGTGAGGCCTAGGGAAGGCGGGGATGTTCTGTAGGCGATTATAGCTCGGATTGTGTTGTTGTGCTGTGCGAATGCATATTTGAATGGGTTATTTACTAAAGTAATGAGGTTGCAGTTATGCGTATTACGCCATCTGCTCTCCCTGACAAGCAACATTCGCCGTCGAACTTCACATGGTGAAAATCAATGATCCTTTCAGAATTACCCATCCCCAAAGCAATGTCGCGAATTTTGGGCAGTCGCACGCAATCCTGGGTGGGCCAACACCAGAAGTTCAGCTCCGCCGAGTCTTGTCATTTGGTGCCCACGTCCTCGGACCTGCGTTCAACCCAGCGTCGAGCCAGTACACGTACCTGGCATCTTCGCTGCTGCCCTGTTTCCCGCACGCAGGCCCGCAACACTCGCATACTGGCCTATCAACCGCCATTCACACGACGCCGCATCGCTCAAACTTCAGTTCAGGACGTCACACAATTGTAGTACGAACAGCCGCCCCTCACACTTTCTCCTCTCCTGTTCCCGCAGCTCCCGGCTGGGTGCGCGGGTGCCGTACTACCAGGGAGAAGGCGTCGGCCTGTGCGCCGGCGCGCCCATGAAAGTCGAGCCGTCCTACGACCCGCCCAGGAACCCAGAGGAGGTGTGCACGGGCCCGGCCCTGTACGCCCCCCTGGCCGAGACCACCTGCCGGGGCGCCGTTTCCGGGTCGGAGATGGAGGAGGCGTGCTGCCGCGCCTTCGACAGGGTCATCGGCGCGGGGTCCAACGAGTCCACGCGCAACTGCGAGTGCGTGCCTTCCGTTCGCGCGGAGTCCTGGGAGTTCTTCGGCGCGCTGGGCCTGCCCATCGGGGACCTGTGGAGCGACTGCAAGTGAGTGTCGACAGCGCTCATAGCACTGAGTTGGTGCTGTAAATGCCAAAGTACGTAAGGCATGGTGCATCATGCAAAAATGCACGCCGCTCGTGTAACCATGCTCGCTTGTTGTGACGATTTGCTGGCGTCAAGGAGTCCCAATTGACAGATTGGTAGATTCATTGTTCATGGATTGATTGATCGATGGGCATCGGCATCCCTAGACATGATAAATAATACAAATACTCGGTTGAGCATTTGTACTGACCTATCGATCAATACATAATGCTGAATCAGTATTATCAGTATTACTGTTGCGAAAAGTACGCTGTTTTCCTGCGTGCGCTACGGTGCGGAGGGCGCTCTTGCTTTGTGCCTCTGGAAGTGCTCGTCGGGTTTGTTTGATTTTTTATTTCTGTCTTTGCTCCTTACGTGGATGCATCGACGGAACGTCACGGCATCGGTCATTGTAGCGCACGGATACAGTGAGCGAGGGGCCAGTCCACGCCCAACTGTGCCTCTAAAATGCGCCTCCAGAGAGGGCAACAGCCACCCACCCGCAGGAATCAATGCTGCTTAGGAATCCAGTGTGCGAGGGGCCGGTCCAGGCCCACCTGTGCTTCTAAAATGCGCCTACAGAGAGGGCAACAGCCACCGACCCGCAGGAATCAATGCTGCTTAAGAATCCAGCGTGCGAGGGGCCCGTCTAGTCCCACCTGTACCTCCAAAAGCGCCGTCCACGCAAAACCCGCATGCGGTGTGACTGCCAGTGAGGGAGGCATCCGAAATGATGCAAATGACATTCCGATATGTTGTAAAAATATGTGGACAGACGCGCCAACATTGCTTGCGATGAAGAATACACTGGCGCATGAAAGTATCTCAACGGACCTGGATGGTCGCGCTGAGAAGAGCGCACCAGTGAAGAACCAGAATCATGCCGTTCGTTATTTGAACCGAGCGATCAATATGAGGAGTAGGAAGCTTGTTTGCATAAGTACCAACAACATTCTGAGACAGCTGCCGTGGTATTTCGCACTTGAAAGGCGTCAAGAGACATGACACTCAGCCCATTTACTGCATCCTTTGATTTCCTCAACAAGGCGCCCCATTTTTTAACCAATTTCAGGAATTCCTAAGTACTGTCAGAGTATCTCGTCTCAATAACAAGGATGTGACAGGTTCGATATTGGATTTGCGATGCATTTCACAGCCACTGGGCATTTGCTGCTTAGTATCTACGCACTTTCGAAGCACTTTCTAAGCACTTTCTAAGCATTTCGCTGGCACCATTTTGCGTACAAGCGGACGAAACTCGCTTGAACTGATTTTACCCTGACATGAAAATATATTTTCTCTCTCGACCCTAATGCCATCAACATTCAGCACGAGTCCCAAAGCAGAATAGCTATGCCCCTGCAATTCTAATGTTCTACATTGCTTCCGTTGTGTCGTTGATGTGGGCGGCTGCTCTTCGATGGCGCCAACGAAGTGCAAAATATGTTCCAATCGAAAGGAAGCGTGCTCAAAACATTATGATTGAAATCAATGGCACTTGGCGTCGCAGCGCATTTCAGAGTATTTAGCTGTTGTAGTTTGGCCAGTAACCAGCCCATGATCGTTTCGCCGAACGCAAAATATAGCGCAAAGAAACTATGCGCTAAAACTGCGAAGCTTGAGCCACGGCATGCCGCAAATCTTCAACGAAGCATGAAGATGTAGATAATGCTACACACATGCGAGTAAAGTAAATGCACATACACAAAATGGACAGTCCTCTCGCGACCCTGAAGAACCTGCAACCCCGGGAGATCATCTTGAGGGGGACGCAAAAGCGCCGATTGCGCAAATCCTGCAGCACACCCTTCTTGCAAAATCTTTGTAAATGTATTCATATCACACCACCACGTTATGGCCCACCTTGCGGTGAGAGTGCTTACGAGACATCACCTGTCCTGCCTATCAATCCTTTGCATTTGTGGAGGATGCGGCTCGGTTGGGAAAGAATGGTGGCGTGGATCCCACACCTTCCTTTCTAATGTACACCGGCAAACATGTTTACACACGTGCGCTTCTTATTGTAACTTCCTTATTATTGTACTTGCGAAGCATTGAGTGATCCTACTCGTGAGAGTGCTGTTGGCAAATAATCGAGATATAAACTCGCAACTTCGTTGTTTGCTGTTATTAGTGAGAAGTATGGGACAGACATCGCCTTCTATCAAGGACCAGGAGTGGGAAAATGCTCAGGGGTGGAGGCTTTTCTGGCTGCAGCTCGGAAGGTAAACCTGGCTTGGGTTCATTCATACTGCGCAACAGTTCATCCACAGAACACATTCCAAGGCCAGCGTGATTATTGCGGTTCGAGCCTTTCTGTGTTAACAACGTCCCCCTATCTGCACTTGCCGGCGAATTCATGGTGCCCTCATTTCGCATCATCTCCACCAGACACCCTTCACTGTGCGGCGATTTTTCGCTCTTTATCGCGGCGTCCATTGCACCATCGCCGCAACTCAACTGAACATTGGAAGTGAATTGTATCGGCCAGCGACATGGCAATTGACACATCCCCACGGTGCCCATTCTACAGCATACAGGCATGGAAATGAGAGAGTTCGGGGAGTGGATGAGGGATTTACCGGAGGAGCCTGCGGTTCTGGTGTCGTTCATCTTCGCCTTCCCCGCGGGCGTCGGCGTGGCCCTCTTCTTCGTCATCGCCTCACAAGCACTTCTGTTTTGAGTGGCGGCGACTGCTCCCCATCAAGAGCTTTTTCAACTATTATTCCTTTCAACAGAAAGGAATAAATTTGTCAAAAATTTAGCGACCCCCTCTCCCTCCCGCTGCAAAATAATTCCCAGATTCTTGAAGTAGAGACTCTTTCCGCAGTGCAGGAGGCGATGTGGTATAATTGCAGAGAGTCCAAACATGCGCCCAACACTAAGTGATGCCGAATGGGGTCCCCGCGGCGCGCACTCGGTGACGGGCTTAGGATATGGGTGAGAGGAGTTTCCTCCTTCGGGTACAGCACTTTGGGAAGATTCAGAACGCGGAGTGTGCGAATAACTAGTAGTGTAGCATTCCCGGTTAAGGCATTGGTTAATTGGTTTGCGTTGAAATTTTGTCCGCTTTGCGGATGCATGAACGGGACGACGGAATAAGTTGGAAGGCATGCGCATTGACGTTTCGCAGTGGGGGGAACATGAAGACCTGTATCATGAATTGCACATGAGGATAATTGTGAACTTGCAGAACGACGGCCTGCAATGAATTGGCGTCTTTGCCCGACCATCGACGGAAAGTCGCTGCGCCTGGGTGCCAGGAGGTCGGTCGTGCTAACTTTGCCTTCAGAATAGAGCGCATTCTTCAGAATCTGACAAGTTCCTGCAATGTTCGGGTGACCCCTACGAGGGGTGTCTCAACAGCCGGTCGTTGTTCTGGTGTGAATGGAAGCCAGCCATGAATGTATTTGTACGGTGCTGTTGATTCGTGTAAAATTTCGATGGATGCGCTCAGCACAACACAACGTTTTGTTCTCGTCGCGGCTGGGCCTTCACGCATTTGGATGCATACGAGGCCATCGTCTGCAACAGGCCAGAGCTTTGCAACGTGCCAGGGCTTTGCGTTGTGTCATGGATCGCAACCCAACTTGAAGGAATTTAATGGCGCATTCCCTGTAACACGCACCACGCTTGGCACAAGTTTTCTCCGTATCTTCTGTGTACGCCCCGGACACAAAGACTTCCTTTGCGAAGAAACAACGAGTTGGCGGATGGCCCTTCTTGCTGAGAGTTGGTTTGGGATACGTTTCAGCCTCGGCGATGCATCGGATACCTCAGCGCAACAGAAAGCTCACAGCAGAGAAGCACCAGCACATGCATATGTTTGGGCTTGGTGGAACGCCACGATGCTCACCAGAAATCCCTAAACTCCCAAGTCATCATAGCACACAGGCGCACAGATTCACGAGCTGCAACATACCCCGCAGCGCCCCTGTGTATCGTCGTGAACAAGTGCAACAGCAACATGTCGATTGAAGCATGCGTCATCCATCAGTTCGGCATCATGCGCGTCCCATCTGTCCCATCACTTTCGCGCGTTTGGTCACATCACCCGGAGTTCGCTGTGTTTTTGACAACCCCAAAGATACGTGCCACGTGGTCCGCAGGGCACGGTGTCTTCCGCGCCCGCCAGCGCCAGCAGGTACATGGCGCTGCACAGTCGAGAAGGGTCCCCATCGTTTCCAGCGCGCCCCCAAGCGGCAGCCCCAGGAGTCCTCCAGCCCTTCCGCAGTTCGGTCCAAGCCGGCGCCCCCGTGCTGTCGCTGTTCCATACGGTGAGCCGAGCACCTGGCGAAGCCTGTTCAGTCGCACATTGTGGCCTCTTTGTTGGCGCTCTGGCCTGAGGGGGACGCATGGCTGGCACAAACGAGGCACCCGTTACAAAACGAGGTGTTGCCCATCGTTGCGGTGTTGATCAGAAGCCCGCCCTTCAACCCGGGCGTGGATGGGTCGTTGTCATTCCCGATGGGCTCCAAACTGCCCGCCTGCTTTTGTTGCGAGTCTTCCGTGGGTGGACGCGGAGGGCCACCCAGCGGTGATGTTGGGACAGCTAAGTCTTCAGGCGGGCGCATGCGCGATCTTTGGTTCGGGAAAGGCAGGGCAGTTCCCGCAGTCTCCGCTTCTCGTCGCGAGTCCATCTCTTGAAGGACGGTGTCGCGAGAGGAGGTGGCGCCGTGCGGAGATCTTCACCCCCTTCCCCTTAGGCGCTTGCCGGGCACATGCTCGACTCACCGGGACATCGCGTACCAAAGCTCGTTCGTAAACACGGACTTCAGTCGCCGTTTCCGAATGCCGGCGGAACAATGGTTGAGCCGTCGCGTGATTGCCCGCCAGCGCTCTGGAGAAGCTTATACAACAGTCTGGTGTAAGGAACCGCCATCTGGGTTGCCCTTTTGCCGACTCTGTCTGTGGCAGCCCATGTTGGGGATGTCGCTGCGCAAGCACGCGCTGGGAGACTTTCACATCGCCCTCTGTGTTGAAAGAATGTTGATCGCTTGGCTTGGCCCTGGGGCGTCCGTCGCACAGCGCCCTGTTCTCTCAGTGACCGCCTGTCAACACCGCCTGGGCTGGCTGTGCCTCACGTTGGTGTGTCGATCTCAGATGTCCGAAGGTCGATCGCTGGTTCTGGGGCCCCGCTTATCTACTGGCCTCTCTCACTCCGTTGTGAAGGGCGAAGACTTCAGGGCGCAGCAACCCAACCTGAGGTGGTCGCATGACGGCTCAGGTGAGGTTCTAACAAGGCGATTAGACTCGATGCGCCTTTCCCTTGTTTGGAAGGAGTTTCTTTATGTGTTAGGGGGATTGCAAGACTTGTTGGGTTGCTGTGGACAGTTGTCTTGTCATAGTGAGCACAGTAATTCAGTGACAGCCTGCGACACGATCACAGAGTTTGGGCACGGAGTGTGCAAGGAAAGACTATGCACTCCCTGGATTGTACAAGAATCTCGTGAGGGGTGACTGTGGCTGTGGTTGCGTTGGATCAAGGAATGCGAAAGTTGGTGGCATGGCCTGGACTTCTGCTGGTGGATTGATTTCTGCAGCATGCTCATATGTGCTCAAGGGACTGGTTCGTCAGTGTAACAGACTAGTGGAACTGTAGCATGAAAGTAGCGGATGCCTTGGGGTGACATACGTTGGCCTTTTTTCAGTCATGCTGTGTGTTTTGCAGTCAAGGGCTAGTCTAGAGTCAATGTTTTCAGGGATGGTTCGATCAGGCCTCTGTAGTTTCAGATTTGGTGCAGGATGTCTTGAAACGCCAAAGATGTTTCTTCCAAATCCTTTGTGGGACTGTTTCCAGGGGAGACAGACTTCGCATTCTTTGGAATTTTCGACGGGCACGGTGGGAAGCAGGTGGCCAAGTATTGCTCAAAAACGTTGCACGATGAGCTCCAAAAGACTCTCAGCAAGCAGACACAGTTCCCTGGGGCACTTGCTGTTGACCTTCCTGGCTTCCAGGCAGCTGCCAAAGAGTTGAGTGCTTTCGACGGCCAGGATGCTGTGGTGCAGCAGACACCAGAGGCACTGGTGGAGGCCTTCACTTGTGCGGATGATGTGTGCAGAGCAATGAACCTGGTGGGTGAACCTGTTGTGTCCCTATGCCAATATCGATGCACATATGGGTTTTCGTCAATGTGCATGGAATTGAATCGCCCTGCATTCTGTGTGCACACATGTTGCTCCATGTGGAGCAACGCAACAGCTGTGTCACTGCTCGGTGTTAACCACCTCAGCCAGGCAGTTCCGATTTCTAACACACTGGTGTGTCAGAGCAATGTTCAGAGCAGTGCTTGCACAGTGTTCTGCAAGTGTTGCAGTATGTTGTGCACACGTAGCAACCTCCACTGCTGCCTTGGCAGCCGCAGATGATCGACCTAAATTGTCAGTAGAAGGCAGGCAAGTCCTAGCACCTGCCTATTCATGATGCACATCCTCCCACTTCGTCCCACACGCATTCATGGGAGGTCATCGTTTTTCAACATCCAATGTTTCATGTGCCACAACATGCGACCTTTGCTAGTTCTGTTACCAAAGGAACTTTTTTCTCAGTGTTCGGGAGAATGTAATGTGCAGGACTCTGGCACGACAGCCACTGTTGCGGTTCTCGCTGGGTGGGAGGTGATCATTGGCAATGTGGGCGACTCCCTGGCCGTCCTGGACACTGGATGCGAGGTGCTCCAGGTCAGTGGCAACCACAGGCTGGACAAGAACAAGGCTGAGCAAGAGAGGATACAGAAGGCGGGCGGCGAGATTGCAAGGTCCACCGTCTGTGGGGTCGAGACAGGACCACTGAGGGCCTGGCCTGGCGGACTGGCCATGAGCCGCACGATTGGCGATCCCAAGGCTGGTGAGTTGTTGCTTTTCTGAACAGAGGGTGGACAGACCTAATTTGTAGCCATCCATTTGTTTGGCAATTGGGGGCCAAGGCATGCTCAAGGGTGGCCGACACCTTGCATGATGGGTGCAGGATTGTGTGTGTTATGATAAACTTGGCTAAGAATGATGGTGTGTTGGCCAACAACAACAAGAGTGCCCTGGGACCTGATCATGGGCTGTTTTTGTGCGAAGGCGATTTTGTGACCTCAGTACCTGAGGTACGCCAGTTCACATGGCCCTTCACAGGCGGACGCCTCATCGTTGCATCTGACGGTCTGTGGGATGCAGTGAGCCCAAAGTCTGCTTGTCACAGCACCAGGGGGATGTCGGCTGGCCAGGCGGCCAATGCACTGGTGCGGTCCATATTTTGGTGCCCGTCATTGCCCCCACCACCTTTGGGCTGCAACAAGCTGATGCTCCCATACACGCAAGTTGTTGTGTTAGTTAATGATGCGATGACTTGGCTGTACACTGCTGTAGTAGCATTCTTGCAGTACCATAGTGCTGTAGTCCTATATGCTGTATAATGCAGTACATCAGCAGTTTAGCAAAAACAATGTGCAAATTGAAAGGATTCTCAGGTAGTTGAATGTGCCAACCTACCCTCCCCCTGGAGTGCAGCTTTGTTATTTCTTGTGCTGCTCATCGCGGATTTGTGTTGTGCTCTGAAACTCTTGCATCTGTTTGGGCAGTGTGAATGCAGTCTTGAAGTTTGTGGATCAGGAGGGCAATGCCCGATGTGTGATCTGTTTTTTCATTATCCTTTCTTTGCCTGGCGATCTAGCAGTTGAGCATCACTATGGAAACACCTACTGCCGGTTCTGTAACTGCTGCAGCTGATAATGAAAATAAGATATTCGTTGTGTTCAACGTATTTGATGTGGGGCGGGGATCCTGTCAACTTTCAGAAGAGCACTTTTACAAAATGCTCATGCCAACTTTGCTGAGGGCACTGGGTTCATCGATTGCAACTGCAGCGAGTACACTGTATACTCTTGCATGTTTTCTCTGTGCTTCCAATGCATTACATATCAGATAGGAATCCAGGTACCCACCTCATGCAAACACAGAAGATATGTGGGCCTTGTGCCCCTGGACACGAAATTGCAAGGCCTTGTAACCCCCAAGCTCCTTAGTGTGCAAGCAAATGTTGATGGAGGCAGAGTTAGAGACAGATATTGTGGCAAGCCACAGTGCTGTTATAGTTTTCATGACCTAATTTGAGGGAATTTGACTGCTGATCATGCAATACCTGCTTCAGCCTAGCAGTTGCTTTCATAATCAAGGCAAAGATGCTACAAAGACAAAATGCACGTCAATTGGTAGCTAATATGATGCACTGCAATTCAAAGGCATTGTTCAACATTATGTTGCTTCACCATTTTGTAGGACTGGTTCCCAACAAAGCAGTTCCTATTCTGTGGCCTGGCAGTGTTGTGTGAAACATTTGCTGTTTGCTTTGATGCCCCATGGACTGTCATGGCGGTGTAGCGCCGTGTGGTGATGGCAGTATTCCAGGAGCACTGTCCTGGTTGTTGACTCACAGGTTAAAGCATCAAGAAAGGGCAAGACGTCGTCTAGGGACGATGTGACTGTCCTTGTGGTCGATGCGATCCCCAATGAGCAGGGCCGCCTGCCTGCTATCCTGCATCGCACGGCCAGTGGTGCAAGCACGTCCAGCAGCAGTGGCCAAGATAGCTCCGAGGGCTGTCTGATTTGGAAGCCGCTGGAGGAGAACAAGGGACCATCAGTCAACTGGAGGGAACGGTCCAGGTATGCAAGTGCAGTCTGACAGCCCTTGGTGAAAGCAGTGGAACTCTTGCGAGTCACTAGTATGTCTGACTTTGTCACAAAGTCACCACCAGAGCAAGTTCAAGGACCGTGAGTTGTCACAACTTGCTGTGCTACCATGCAGGAAAACATGTG